TTAAGTTTGAATCGATTTACTGTCTTTTGAATCTGTTTGTTTTTATTAATATTTCCTGAAACCCGTGACTCATTGAACAGATGTCAGATATAATGGACAAAGGTTTTTTTTTTTGTTAAGATGATTTAAAAGTAAATTACCGTATCTAGAAAACCTCAGTTTCAGTCTGATTCAGCAAGTCTCTGATTGACTAGCCTACAGCTGTAGTGGTCTGAATAATTCAATTATATATAGCGAGGAATTCCTGGCCTTCTTGATTGTGATTATCTAGGCCTATTTAAAGAAAAAATGGCGTTTAAGATAGTTACACTACAAGGCAATCTTTATTATGATCATTTTTATCATCATAACTGTTCAGATTGAATGTTAAATGTTAAGAATAATAGTCATCAAACTATGCCACAAATGAAATGGAGGTAGCTAGGCTAGGGGGATTATGTAATGATAAAAAAAAAAAAGGTTAGATACATCAAAACCATCTTATATTCTATCTTCTTTTACACTTCCATACTTCTTGGATGCTTTTGAAAAGTCCTGAATCAGTTCACATAATTGTCATTCTAGTATTTGTAGCTAGTAGTATTAGTATTAATATGTTGAATTAGTTTAATCAGTTTTAGTATGTGCTTTTTTCTGTCGTTAGTAAACACAAATGAAGTGTGTCATTTTGGATGGCGAATAGAGCAAACATTTGCAACAACAAAAAAAGAGCTGAATATATAATATGCTTACTACAAATAACGGTGTACAAAGGAGTATAATGTACTAAACGTATTTTACTTTTTTATGAGTTGTGGTGATGTTCCTTATCTTCTTTCAAGTAGGCCTATCTTGCTTTGATGACATGCGTACAGACAGCCGACGGTGAGGGCAGCGTGTGGGTCGATGTGTCTTCACCTCTATTCATTTGCATCTACATCATATTACACATTTTGAAACTGCAGAATGACTCACAAACACTCACTGTTGTGCTTCCACCCTTTGTTGTGCGTACGCAATGTCTGTGTGCGTGTATAAACCCAGTGCTGATAAGCACCCCACTGCCGCCCACAGTCAGCCCGGAATGATGCTCCACCGGTCGCGGCGCCTCGCCTGATAAAGCGTCATTCGGGTCATTGTGGTTTTATTGTGAACCATTCAAGGAAAAAATAAACATGTTGCCTTCATCTATCAAACTTATTAAACAGTCCTGTAATGCCTGCAACCTAATGAATTTGTCTATACTGCGTCCCCTACAGAGATATATGTGGAGACTGAAATGATCAAAATTCTGGTGAATTATCTAAAAGTTTCCAGCTGACTTGTTTTCTTGCATGGAGTCCAAGGAGAAAATCACCTTATAGTGCCCCCTAGTGCACATGTATGGAGGACGAAACCTGCCAAAACAATAAATAAATATACAAATAAATAAATAAATAAATGTCTGTATAAATACACAAATTATTGTTTGAATACATATAGAAATAATTAAACATGTGACTAAAGTAGGCAAATAAATAAAATAAATTGGTGGACAATTGGAAAATGTTTAAGGAAATGCTAAACATCCTATTTATTTTCCTTTGATCACTCATTTATTTCTGAATGTAGTTCCACATTTATTTTTCCTCTGCACAACATACTAATGAGAGGGACTTGGTCGGGGTCTTGTGGTAGCTGGGGGCGAGGCTTTCCCGCTGACAGGAGATGCATGGTGTAAATCCAGTATGGCCTACGTAAAGTCACTTTTTCCGTTTAACAGAGCAAGATACATAAAAAACTGAGCTGTATTGTCCGTATGACCCAAAGAAATGGCCAGTGTCGTTTCCTGACGTCATGTTTTGTAACCCGATTGAGTCTCCAGCTACAGACAACTGTAATATCAATATCCCATGGTCATCGTGAGATGACTGGTAAGAAGTGGTTTTATCGAGGAACAGACCGTTTTTTCCCGTTAGTTATCAGAACAGAAAATACAGGCGACAAAAGTATGTTTATTAAGCAAATAACGGTTCAGTATAGCAATTAAAAGCTATGTAAGCATTAATATTTTACATAGGCCACTTTTGATTTAGCTCTCTCATGATTATAACTACAAAACTAACCCTATGAAAAAGTGTAAGATAATAACCAGTCACCTTGACTGATGAAGTTAATACGCATGCGCAGGCAAACGCTCTTGCATAATTGACACCATCTCATTAGCATGTTGTGCAGAGGGGAAAAAATGTGTGAAACTACATTCAGAAATAAATGAGTGATCAAAGGAAAATAGTAAGGATGAGTTTAGCATTTCCTTAAACATTTTCCATTTGCCCACCAATTTATATGATTCATTTGCTTACTTTCATCACATGTTTAATTATTTATTTATTTAAACAAGAATACGTGTATTTATGCACACATTTATTTATTTATTTGTGTATTTATTTATTTATTGTTTTTGCAGGTTTCGTCCTCCATACACATGGGAAATGAAGTGCTCATTGAGAAACAGCGTGATTTGTATAGGATTTGGACTTCATTTATTTGGACTTTAAAATGCAATAAAGAAATATCAATTGCATATGCGTAATATTTTGTGAAACCATTTTTTCAGGATTCTTTGATCAAACTAACAGCATTTATTTGAAATCTTTTGTAACATTAGAAATGTTTTGACTGTCGTTTTTGATCAATTCTATTTTATTTTGCTGAATAAAAGCGTTCATTTTTATTAACCCCCTAATAAAAGTTTCCTGAGCAGCAAATCAGCATATTAGAATGATTTCTGAAGGATCATGTTACAGTAGTGATGCTGAAAATTCAGCTTTGCATCACAGGAATAAATTACATTTTAAAATATATTCAAATAGGAAACATATTTTAACTTGTGATATTTCACAATATTAGTGTTTTACTGTAGTTTTGAACACAGATGCAGCCTTGGTGAGCAGAAGAGACTTCATTTAAATATTTAAAAATCAGAATGTTTTCAAACTTTTGACAAGCACCGCATATCATTTCTTTTCTTTTTTTTGTATGTGGGCTAACTGGGCTTTATAAGTGTTATTTCCTATTTTATTATGTTTAGTTAATTCTGGGCTTAATCTGCATACAGTTCGCAATACTGTATACACATTCTCCACAAGATAGCAGCATCACGCTATACATGTGTCTTTATGCATTCATTTATTTTAAAGCCAAAAGTGAAATTGTGTAATTATCTCTCTGAGACAGTAGGTGGCGAGAAACGCTACATTTTCTTCTGGTTTAGGCCTTTTTTTCAAGTTTAGAAGTTTCTAGAATGAGTAGGCCTCAATGACTCATATCTTTTTTTTTTCTCAAGGGCAGCGGCATGCGGTCTAAAAAGAATTCCCATACAGAAAATAAAATGGTTCCGACACTGAACAAAATGGCTTTTTTTGGATAGTCAAGAGAAAATGTTGTGCAGGATTGTATGCCAGGACTGTTGTATATGGAGGACGAAACCTGCAAAAACAATAAATAAATAAATACACAAATAAATAAATAAATAAATAAATAAATAAATAAATAAATAAATAAATAAATAAATAAATAAATAAATAAATAAATAAATAAATAAATAAATAAATAAATAAATAAATAAATAAATAAATAAATAAATAAATAAATGTGTGCATAAATACACGTATTCTTGTTTAAATACATATAGAAATAATTAAACATGTGACTAAAGTAGGCAAATAAATAAAATAAATTAGTGGACAAATGGAAAATGTTTAAGGAAATGCTAAACTCATCCTATTTATTTTCCTTTGATCACCCATTTATTTCTGAATGTAGTTTCACATTTATTTTTCCTCTGCACAACATGCTAATTTGCCTACTTTCATCACATGTATAATTATTTATTTATGTATTTAAACAAGAATTTGTGTATTTATACATACATTTATTTATTTATTTGTCTATTTATTTATTTATTTATTGTTTTTGCAGGTTTCGCCCTCCATAGTTGTAAAGCAAAACAGTGACGTCCACTTTTTCAGTGGCCATGGATCAAGAAGTAGCTTTCCCATTCTCAAGAAAAAAATACAAATTCTGAAATGAAGATTTCTGAACCATGAGCCAAACCCAACCAACTCTGAGATGTTTGAGACTGATTCAATAACGTCTTTTGTAATGCTTCATGGAAGTAGATGCAGTCATTTGGCAGTGCTTCATGAAAGTGCTACTTCTAAAGGCCTACTGTTGCACTATTGTGGCACAAAATAATACGATCTCAGACCAAAACAGTAAGCTGTTTTCATCAATCCTTCCTAATGTTTACCATCAAAAAGATTGCTTAACATGCAATGATATCATTGCATCATTAATCACCATGTATTTATTTATTTTTTAGAATTATGACCGATTTAATGTTTGAATTGCACTTGGTATTATATGTCTTTTCCCAAAAGGACAAGTATTGCATCCATGACTCTTCAGTTTGGCATACATTTTTCCATTGAGGTCACAAACATAGTGAAAGGCATATGAGATGTTGCATGAGAGAATAAGGAGCATAAATGACTTCCAGGCTTCATGTAAAACATCATGTAAAAAAGTATTAGGTTGCACTGTCAGTTAACTGAAATAAGATGAACTATATTAAACTGAAATCAAAATAGAAATATATACCATACAGATACAAATAAAAATATAAAATACAAAAATAAAAGCTAAGAATATTAATAAATACTATAACTGACACTGGAGTGTTAAAAAGTTATAAGAAATTATGTTAGTAGTTAGTATAATACAGCGTTAGTATATGAAAAAAAAGTAAATGCACAAATACTAACATGACCAATAAACAATCACATTCTTATACATACAAAGTCAGAGAAAAGCATACAACGCGGGTCATACAGTGAGTCATTGCAGGATGTGATGCATGCCAATCAAAAATGAAACATGTTTTATTGAGCCAATGATGTGAGAGAATATGCGCATACATTAGCACGTCGTCCAATAGCTCGTTAGGTGGGCGTGTGCTCGGTGTTCTTCACTGAAAAAGCTGCTCTATCAGTAGGTGCGCAAAGTGAGGGAATTGACTGTGCCGTAGCTTCTAGAACTACAAGTTGTCTTCTAGTATTATTAAAAAATAAAGACATTAAACTGAATTAGCGCGACAGGATTGAGATGTTACAGTTAAGGGCTTCAATTGTGCTGAAGGAGTTGATTCAAACCAGCCCAAGGCGTTTGTTTTCTGACATTATAAGGCATAAGAAGACTTTACCAAACGCGTACATCTACAGCGCTGCTTATCCGGATGGCAGAATATCTCAATTAAAGACTGTCTGTAATGGAAGACCTTTCATTCTGCCTTTAGCTGGGAGAAGATTCCTGTGTACAAAGACCGAAGGAGCGATTGACCCTACAGAACCGGTGAAGAAAGATGAGTCCGTCCAGGAAGCGACGGCAGAGAAGTACGAAATGTATTTATTTGTCATTTGGTCATGACGCATGAGATATTCAGTGTTATTGATCGGAAGTATATAGCATGTGTTTACCACACGCGCCAAAATATCCTTGAATGGCTGACAACGTGGCGCTGTGTGTATACTTTTACAGCAAGTGGGTGGAGAACATGTGTTGTAGTAGTATACTTCATGTTAGAAATAGAATAAAATGCTATCAGTTTGATAAGTTCAGGTCAAGTATATAGTGTTTATTTTTTGGTAATGGACACACCCCATTACACCCCATTAGTCTTTTCAGATGAGTGAATCGGTCTCCTTCACTTCCATGCACTGACTAGTATTTTCCGTTCACTCAAGTGTCCTCTTTTTGAAGCGCGTGACTCCTGTTCTGTCATCAAAAACCAACTATACATCACAAGCCAATAGTATTCGAGTATTGGCTGTTATGGAGAATTTCATTGGTTGAGCTTACTGAAGTGACACGCCCCCTTCAAAATGAACTAAGCATATCGTTCGAGAGTGAGGTAATCGAATGAAGCATCATTCAACCAACTGAATGAACTGGAGCATTTAATATGTCAAAGAAAATTTATAAATTGGAACAACTCGTTCATGATCCATATTAAAGGGGTCATATGATGCGATTTAAATTTTTCCTTTCTCTTTGGAGAGTTACAAGCTCTTGGTGCATAAAGAAGATCTGTAAAGTTGCAAAGTATACTTCATGTTAGAAATAGAATAAAATGCTATCAGTTTGATAAGTTCAGGTCAAGTATATAGTGTTTATTTTTTGGTAATGGACACACCCCATTACACCCCATTAGTCTTTTCAGATGAGTGAATCGGTCTCCTTCACTTCCATGCACTGACTAGTATTTTCCGTTCACTCAAGTGTCCTCTTTTTGAAGCGCGTGACTCCTGTTCTGTCATCAAAAACCAACTATACATCACAAGCCAATAGTATTCGAGTATTGGCTGTTATGGAGAATTTCATTGGTTGAGCTTACTGAAGTGACACGCCCCCTTCAAAATGAACTAAGCATATCGTTCGAGAGTGAGGTAATCGAATGAAGCATCATTCAACCAACTGAATGAACTGGAGCATTTAATATGTCAAAGAAAATTAATAAATTGGAACAACTCGTTCATGATCCATATTAAAGGGGTCATATGATGCGATTTAAATTTTTCCTTTCTCTTTGGAGAGTTACAAGCTCTTGGTGCATAAAGAAGATCTGTAAAGTTGCAAAGACTAAAGTCTCAAATCCAAAGAGATATTCTTTATAAAAGTTAAGAGTCAGCCACGCCTACCTAAAACGGCTCGTTCTAACACGCCCCCACATGTCTACGTCACGATGTGGGAAGAGCTGCATAACGCCGCCCAAATGTTCACGCAAAGAAAGAAGGCGGAACTTTGATTCTGGCTGTTGCTGCCGCCGCCATGTTGTGGAGACGCTGTGTGTTTCGTTATGAAAGCGAAACTACTTTGTTTGGCCTTCCAAAAGAGGACACAACTAGAAATCAGTGGTTAAGTTGTGTTTACAACACTGTTCCAGAACAGTTCAACCCAAATATTCAGATGTGTGCATTTTATGGAGGACGAGGACTGTTTTCTGGGAGAGTAGCCTACAATACCGGTGTCTGTTTCTGTAAAGTGGGGCAATTCCAACTTTGCAAGGACAGTCTGGCACTTCTGACTCATAGACTGTAAGTACGTTTTCATATTTAAAGAATTTGCCATTGACGATACAAACGCGAGTTTTGAGCAGTGTAGAGTAGCGCTTGTTGTTTGTCATTTCTCCGATCACAAATGCAGACATAGTTTTATGTTTACGCAGCGCGATATGCAACACGTAAAAAGACATTATAAGTCATTATAATCAGTAATTATGTCCCCACTGGATGCAACAAATGCCTCGTTTATAATGGGTTTTACTGGTTTTGTGTTGTCGTGCCGTGGACATGGCATCACAGTATGGTTAGGGGCGTAACATTTCCGTCACAAGCTTGAGGTATTCGGCCAATCACAACGCACTGGATAGCTGGCCAATCAGAGCACACCTCGCTTCTCAAACCGATGAGCTTTGTAAAAATCAACGCGTTTCAGAAAGGCGGGGCATAGAGGGGAAACAATAATGTACATCATGTGGAAAATAATATGTTTTTTTTTACCTTAAACCGCATAAACACATTGCATTACACCAAATACACAAAATAATGTTCTTTTTAGCAACGTCATATGACCCCTTTAAAAAACTGTGATTTTTAGTTTGTAAATGAACTGAACGATTCAGGCATCTGAAATAATCTGTTATCTAATTTATGAATGCTCATTATATGGGTTAAGGCCTGTTCACACTAAAAAATAATAGTTTTAAATCTGTGAGAACAGACAAGCCCACGCCACAGCTATAATATACAAAATCACTTTCAGAATGTTATTTTCCAGCTAAGGAATCATAAAAACATTTACAGGCAACCAGAATCTAACTGCCTTCAAAGAACTCAAGCGTTTAAAGCGACAGACTACAGAACTGCATCGCACGCTTATAATAAACAATGTTTTCATGCATTGCTGTGGACGCCAGCATAATTATCGTTAGGGTTGGGGGTTGAGACTAATTTCATGAATCAATTTTATTCCGATTCGCATAGCTCTTATTCGATTGTAACTTTATATTTATTTGGAAATATCTAAACATACCTTCATTAATGTTTCCTTAATGGTTCATTAATGTTTTTTAATGCTATAGCTAGTAGTAAAGAGGAAAAGTTGATGGCTCATTCATGCATGCTCTTGAACTGAGGCAGCTAAAGCAACCTTCCATCACAAAAAAGAGCATCAAAATGTCATTTATTGATAAAATTGACAGAATTTAAAATCTGATATTTCTTCAAATGTAAGAAGGCACAATGTATATTGTGTTTATTGCATGAGAGGCGTGCTACAAATAATGTTTAGTCTAGTTTTATTGAATTTATGTAGGCTACTGCTGTTTTTATAGCTTGGTGAAAGTCATACTGAGGTGAGGTTATAATGATTGATTTTTTTTTTTCTGGAATCTTAGAAGGAATCTGGAAGTAGTTATGTAGATGAAAAACATATTAATTAATGCATAATAAGCCTCAGTGTTTTTAACAAATGTTTGAGTGATTCACTCATAACACGAAGGCTTGTTATCACCTGCTGCCATAATAATGTAATTTGTTGAAAGGGCCACTGAATTATTCAGTGAAATATTTTATTGAATACATAAATGTTTTGAGTCACTGAGATGAATCAAAATGAAACGACTATTATTGTTTACTTTATGGAAGTTGGAAATGGGAGTGGTGGTGGTGGCTCTTATCAGCTGCTAGATTATGACACTATTCATACGGCAGCTGTGGAATGTCGATAATGCACTTCCGCAAACAGGCAGTGAGCACAAATGGGAGATCATTAAAACTGTTTTCAGTGCAGCAGTTTTCTCCATATTTATAGATGTATATATGAAAGCTTTCAGAAAATCCACCCTGGCTGTATAATCGATCTTTTCCTCATGCTCTTCTGTTTGCTCACGGTTCACACAGTGCGCGTGACTCATCGCTCGTCTGTCCATATAGATTATTTATAAGATGACGCAGAAGGCCCGTGCTGTCCCTGGCAGATAGACTTTAATCGAGAGCTTGATCATCCTCTCATGAATGCCACTCTGTCTCACGATGGGCAATATGACTGCTGAGGCAGCTAAAGCAACCTTCCATCACAAAAAAGAGCATCAAAATGTCATTTATTGATAAAATTGACAATTTAAAATCTGACATTTCTTCAAATGTAAGAAGGCACAATGTATATTGTGTTTATTGCATGAGAGGCGTGCTACAAATAATGTTTAGTCTAGTTTTATTGAATTTATGTAGGCTACTGCTGTTTTTATAGCTTGGTGAGAGTCATACTGAGGTGAGGTTATAATGATTGAATTTTTTTTTCTGGAATCTTAGTAGTTATGTAGATGAAAAACATATTAATTAATGCATAATAAGCCTCAGTGTTTTTAACAAATGTTTGAGTGACTCACTCATAACACGAAGGCTTGTTATCACCTGCTGCCATAATAATGTAATTTGTTGAAAGGGCCACTGAATTATTCAGTGAAATATTTTATTGAATACATAAAAGTTTTGAGTCACTGAGATGAATCAAAATGAAACGACTATTATTGTTTACTTTATGGAAGTTGGAAATGGGAGTGGTGGTGGCGGCTCTTATCAGCTGCTAGATTATGACACTATTCATACGGCAGCTGCGGAATGTCGATAATGCACTTCCGCAAACAGGCAGTGAGCACAAATGGGAGATAATTAAAACTGTTTTCAGTGCAGCAGTTTTCTCCATATTTATAGATGTATATATGAAAGCTTTCAGAAAATCCACCCTGGCTGTATAATCGATCTTTTCCTCAAGCTCTTCTGTTTGCTCACGGTTCACACAGTGCGCATGACTCATCGCTCGTCTGTCCATATGGATTATTTATAAGATGACGCAGAAGGCCCGTGCTGTCCCTGGCAGATAGACTTTAATCGAGAGCTTGATCATCCTCTCATGAATGCCACTCTGTCTCACGATGGGCAATATGACTACCATTTTCCAGACAATATGTCAAATTAAAAGTAATTTTCTGCAAGATTTGTGAGAATTTCTGCCCTCCTCCTTACAGACTGATTTTTACTTACTGTTAATGAAACGCTGGGCATTTGTTCAGCTGGCATAAATAAGTTAATGACGCATAATCCTGTTTAGTGACGTGTTGGACTTGGACTAATGGGTAACATGTTATACTCCTCCAGCAGATTACACAGTTAAAAGTGCTGTAAAGTCGTAATGGAGTGAGGTTTTTGAATGGCTGATAATGATATCTAGAGAGAAGAATGGTCATTTGAGAATCGATTTTAACCCTTGTGTTGTGTTCAGAACCCTATCACACTTACGATGTTACAGACCAAAAAGGACCCGGCCTCAAAAA